GAGAGGGAGAGAGGGAGAGAGGGAGAGAGGGAGAGAGGGAGAGAAAGAGGAACATAATCTGAATGACCACTCACTGAGCAAAGACAGCCAGCAGATCTCCCTCTGTTAGATCATATGGCAGACCACCAGCGAAGATATAAGCAGAGTCTTTGTAACGTGCATGCCATGATGCTCCATCCTGGATGCCTGCATCTACCTCCCTCTGTGTTGCCTTCTGAGTGTTCTTCACTTGTGTGAGAGGATTCATGATGGCTGCTTTCTGAACTAGTGGTCAACGTCTCGGCTATAAAGACATGAAAACTTTTCCCAAGAAGATCCTGCAACGCATAGATCACCGAAACCACCACCACCACCTCCTCCTCCTCTCCTCCTCCTCGCTCTAATACCTTCATTCGTTTTGACTCCGGTTTCTCATTTTGTCCCCACTTCAGCACCCTTCTCCCCCCTTTCCCCCCTTCCCCTACCCACCTTTATATTCCAATGGAGATCTTCTTCGCCACACGCCACGTGTCACCCTGGCAGAGCACTCACTCCCTTGCTGAATGGCCTTCGTTTCACGACATGCCAATTCCCACGTGTCCATGCTCTGGAAACATACCAACCGATCCATACAGACATACATATGGAGACAGACAGACAGACAATAAATAGATATAGTGGTCAGGGCGTACTCACACTATCACTATCTTAAACGTATCTGACCGCATTTACAGATGGACCTGTATGCATCTGGCCGCAGATGGACCTGTATACATCTGGCCGCCGCAGATGGACCTGTATACGTCTGGCCGCAGATGGACCTGTATGCATCTGGCCGCAGATGGACCTGTATGCATCTGGCCGCAGATGGACCTGTATGCATCTGACCGCAATTCCGTCCAAACATACCGATAACAAGTAAGTCATGAAGTGCTAGTGTGAGTATGCCCTCAGATAGGTAATCTAAGGGCACATCACGGAGAGCACAAGATAACCTAACGGAGTAGAGAAATACCGATAACAAGAGAGAGAGAGAGACTGTTTGTGTTGAAAGGCATCCATACGTGTGAAGGGATCAAGGTTGGGGAAGTGCCACTGTTTTGCAAGGGATCTACGCGCTCCTGTTTTTCAGAATTATTTCGGAGTCTGTACTTAGACTGAAAGGTACCCCAAATTCAGCTATAATGACCGTACGTTGGGACCGTACTTAGACTGAAAG